GAAGGAAGGAAGGAAGGAAGGAAGGAAGGAAGGAAGGAAGGAAGGAAAAGTAAAAATATGACCTCCTCTCCTCTCTGCCTTCCCTTGGAGCTTAAGGCCCCATATTTCCTTGGTGCCATGTTGCCTCTATGGCAGTCACCAGACGTCCACAGTAAATGTGTAGTGGGATTGTGGAGGGAGCAGACTCTGTGCTGAGCTTCCTAAGGGTTCCCTCTTCCAGTCCAAACTCCTAAATCTCCCACCAAAGCAGCATACACAAGGGCCCAGGAAGTCAAAGGGAACTGACCCGTCAGGGGCAGGTGCAGTGAGGACAGGGAGACAAGTCACGGTGAAGGCTTTCTCTGCCTTCGCCTTCCAGGGTTGGAAGAGCCTTCCGTCCTTATCTCACCCTCCAGAAGGCCATGGGGAAAGGGTGAGGGAAGTGTCTGGGTGTGGAGACAGAAGTCCTGGGTCCACTTGCCCTGATCCTCCTTCTCAGCTGCCCTATCACTATAAGAAGGGGTGAGTGTCTTCCGCACAAAGCTGGGCACCACTGGGGAGCAGAGCTGCTGTCTGGCTCTCTTCTGCCATGTCCCAGCAGCCGGGATGGGCCTGGCGTGCAGCAGCTGCTCAGTGAACCTCTGAAGCCTGTGTGCATGAACGCCACGGACGGGCAGCGACTTTTTAGGAAATCACTCTCTCCCCAAATTTCAGTTGTCTCAACTGGAAAACATTGAGAGTAAGATCTCCCTTTTAAAATTATCGTGTATAGTAAATGCCTACAAAATCACTTTGTATGTTATAAATGTGCTCCAAGAATAATTATCACTATTGTTACAAAGAATGGATATTTAGGATTTCAATTTCAGATTTCTGGACAAGGAATATGGCTTTAGTTTAAAATGCCAAAAAGGTAGTATGCGTGCTGAAGTATTCAGGAGGAAATGTATTGATGTCTGCCATCTACTTAACACGTATCAAATTATAAGAGGATTAATAGATGGACAGAAGGACGGGTAGGTAGAAAAAGATGTCATAAAGCAAGAAGAGTAAAACATTAATGATATAATCTAAGTGGTAGGTATATAGGTGTACATGGTAAAAATCCTTTCCATTTCTCTGTATGTTTGAAATTTTTCATGATAAAAATGTCAGGTGAAAAAGCTTAAAAGGAAAAATAACCTTCTGCCAAATCAAACTGGAAATTTCCCATGTGTTCCTTTCATAGAGTCATCCAGACTCTGGACCATCTTTTTTTTTTTTTTTTAAAGATTATTTATTTATTCATGAGAGACAGAGAGAGAGAGAGAGAGGCAGAGGGAGAAGCAGGCTTCCCGCTGAGCGGGGAGCCCGATGCGGGACTCGATCCCAGGACTCCGGGATCATGACCTGAGCCGAAGGCAGACGCTTAACCATCTGAGCCACCCAGGCGCCCCAGACTCTGGACCATCTTGTCAGTTAATGCCCTGACTCACCCCTTAACAAATATTCCTTGAGCACCTTCTCTGCAAGCCAGCGAGACACTGGAGCTCCAGAATCGAGAAGCTGTATCTAGTAGGGACCACAGCATGGGAATAAGTAGTGACAACATAAGGGGGACAAGTGCCTCAACCTGGGGATCACAAGGGATTGAGAATAGACTCTATCTGGACAAATCAGGAAAGGCTTCCAAGTTAAGCAGAGTGGTGGAGGATGAATAGGAGTTTTCCAGACAGGAACTAGCAAAAGGATGTTCCAAGAACAGGTCACTGTGTGGCCAAAGCGTGGAGAGTGGTGCAAAGCGTGGCCTGGCTAGGGCACAAAGTGCTCTTGTCCATCCAGCAAGAGGGTGGGCCAGTTGGGGTAAAAAGACCTGGCTGCGGGACTCCTGCCTGGCTTAGCTGGTAGAGCACTGGACTCTTGATCTCAGGGTCGCTAGTTTAAGCCCCACGTTGGGTTCAGAGCCTACTTTAAAAAACAAAAAAACAAAAAGGAGGGGCGCCTGCATAGCTCAGTCAGTTAAGCATGTGACTCTTGGTTTTGGCTCAGGTCATGATCTCAGGGTCGTGGGATCGAGCCCCACATTGGGCTCCGTGGTCACTGGGGAGTTTGCTGGAGATTCTCTCTCCCTCTGCCCCTCCCCCAACT